ATAAGTCTGGCACCTACAACCAACACACTGTGGATCTGTGACTGGCAAAACAACATCACAGAGCTCGTGTCAGGACAACTAGTACACAGATTCAGTACCAGGGAGACACCACTCTGTATCTGTGTTACAGCCAGTAACCATGTCATTGCGGGAATGGTCCAACACATCTCACAATTTACCACTGAAGGAGAACTGGTACTTACTACATCGTCTGCTGGGATTGGGAAGCCATTAGTGTGTACACCATACAGGATCTCAGAGTGTCCTGTCACTCACAATGTCGCAGTGGCTGACAAGGACAGTAAAGGTGATGGTGGTAAAGGTAAACGCCGTGTTGTTGCCATGGACAACGACTTCAAGGAACTATTTGTATATGACGGTGAAATCACAAATACAAATCAACCAGCAGCAAAGCCAGAGGGTAACTGATTTATCATCCCTAGGGTGTGGCGTATGATAGTGTTGGTAGCCTATATAAAGGGTTGCGGAAATAGCCGGCTCTACTCATTAGTTATCGTGATGAGTTGGCCAGGAACATACAAACAGTTTACTTCTGAAGTGTTGGTCTGTTGGTATTGACAGGGGGATATCCTATGAGCAGTGATTGGATCTTCGACTGTCAAACTACTACAGTACAACAATGTGTAACATCCTGACAAAATACATAGTGTATATCTAGTAACCATGGCAGCTAACACTGACAAGATATGGAAGTTGTCAAGTTCACTTGAGTGTCAACACACAAGACATATACCAAGGACCTAAGGATTGTACCAATACAACAGACTATACATATATCAATATTATTGGAAATTGCTAAAATGATAGAAAAAATAATCGATTGTAATAATAGATATCCAGTAAATACATTATCATAACAAAAAAAAAATGTTTTAAGTTGGAAAATATTGTTGACTACTCATCCTCAAATACTATTGAATCGTCGCACCCGAAACCCTATTCTTAAGTTAATGTCTTTTTAAGCTTAAACATCGAAATAAATAATGTTGTAACATCAAAAATGAGGTGTGTTTTTCTTTATGTTTTGATTCCATGTGTATAGTATTGCGCTGAGTCTGATGTTAATTGGAGCATTCTATGAAGATATCAATATATATTTCACCTGTGTGACCTTAAAAATAGGTCATGGTTTTTATTTTACAAGCTTAACAGTCCTGTGTCCCGAAATCCTTTATATGTAATAGTATTACCAAGGTTTCGTGGTTCCTTGGAAAACTATGTAATGAAAAATGAGTTTGATGCTTCAATAATCAACATTATCAACTGGATTGCCTATTGATTGATGTGGTCAACTTTATCTTATGTGTCTGTGAGCCACTTTTTCATGGGGATATTTTATTTAATTTGTCCCTTAAAATTGTCAGACCTTGTTTTGATTAGAACGGTGTAGTGTTGTATATTAAACTATAATATAAAAAACAAACATCAGATGCTGTGTTCCACTATTTCCAGTAATTCTAATATTTTGTTTATTTTACTCCCGCTGGGTTGTTTGAAGATTTTAAGCGATTTTACTAATCTAGTGTTCAGAGTCGTTGGTCAAGTACAAAAACAAGAGAATACCGATGTGTCAACAAAACCATAATTCGAACCAAAAAAGATTTTTATGAAGACCTTGGACAAAGTACAAGGAGAAAAGGACCAGGTGTTACAGAAGGTAAGCGTCTTCTGCTTCATCACTGACTTCCAGCATGTAAATCCAAGTAATGACAACTATTCACATCGAGAACTCGGGTAGTTACAACAGAATCACAACGCTCTCCACTCATAGGAGCAAAATAAGAAAACTTTATATCACACTATGAAATAACATATCAATCCTTTTTGAGAACCAACACTTCTTATCATTTTGCACCATCAATTACCAAATATCAAGAAATTTACTCTCTTGATTAATCAGAAAACACGCTGAAAGGTCCTTCATCTGAATAAACGTGATAGCTCAGTATATCATTAGTCAAACATTATTACCCTATGTTTCTTTCCTATAAAATAGACATTCAAGCTGATTAACACATTTGACCACTGTGACCATGAATTAAGGTGAAGGTAATTCGTTTGAACAAATTTTATAGCCTTCCATCACAGCATATTACTTGCCTAATTCCATTTCCATTGACGACTTTGGTGTCCTGCACCTTTTTATTCCTTAAAGATAGAGAGGCATTTGAAATTGTCAAGTTTGAGATATGTCCAGAAACCATAACTCAGTATAAAACAAAAAATAGGGTGTAGTGAATATGCATTCTATGTAAGTGTCCTCGTATGAGTAAAGTTGTAAATTTCAACTCAAAATATAAATTAGAAAGTAAATTATTGAAAAAACCAAACACTTTTCATTTTTTAATCCTCTGCTTTATGTAACCAATCTTTAAGTGACGATTACATTTCTATCTTTGTTCATTTAGGGGATAGTACGTTGTTTTGAGTGGCTAAATATACTGGCGATTAGAACATGAAATTTGGTTTGAATTTGAGACCGTTAGGTATAGACACGAAAAACAACGTATTATCCACATTCTTGCACACCTTAAAAATATACTACGCTGATATATTTAGAAACATTGTATTACCTTGCTACAAAAACGAAGTAACGTACTCTGTGACCTGTGCTGGTGACGTGACATTTTTCAGCGGACTGACCAATCAGAAAGAAGCTTTCAAAAGTCGGTCATTTGGCCCCGTACATACTGGCGAGCGTTCGATCTCTATGTTGAAGAGGCGGACTATTTGAATTGTTCGTGAACGTCCTGTTACCAAAGTTTATACGACACATTTCATTAACATTGTCAAAATTTGTACATTTCCATGTCACTATGCATGCCAATATGACGTATCGACAAAATAAATTGTGCATAGTGCATACGACACATGTGAACTGTTTCATTTGATTTCGGATCGAAATAGATGCCTTCACACGGACGGAACGAAAGTTTCAGTACTAAATGGTGGTAAGAACAAGAAATATTCACTATTTATGTTTTCTTTATCTAACAAATACATTTCATCTGTCCTTTCTGTTCTATTGTCTGCTAGCCTTATCAGCGCTAAGAGGCGAGCTTGACGCGATATTGTTTTGGTTAGAAACAGGGCGTGGCATAAGTGCGATGGGTGGAGCTTTAACTGCCATTCTGCCATCCCATAATGTACTTGCTTACCAATTATCAGTAACGCAAATGCCAGCTATTATTACTTGTATCCCAAAGGGAAATAAATCTAGACAATTCTTAAAACTCTGTCAGCCTGCAACATAATTGAATACTGTCTATGAAATAGCTTCTGGATCTATAGCATGTAGGGTTTGAACTGTTTTGGATAAATTGACTTTTAAAGATCAAACAGGATTTCCTTCAGACCGTTATGTAGGGGAAATACCAGATTAGTCTACGACAGTATACAATTTGCTGAAGAAAAACAGATTCTATTTAGTTGGTTTGATGGGGCAGTGGATAATGAACTCTCCTTTCATAAAGGTGGCCGGGGTTCTAACATGAAAAATTTCGTGGGGCACCTGTCTGACTACGTGGGTTTTCTCAGGATAATCCGATTTCCTCCAACATTAAGACCCCCCTCCAAGTCCCTAATCCTAAGTCCCGCGCTAACATCGTGGTCAACAAGAGTGATTAATATAAGTTAAAATAATTTATTTCATAATTTATTTTATTTTATTAAGAATATATTAAGAGAAAGCATGTGACTCATGGAAAATTGTTAATAAAGTTAAAAATTAGTAGTGTGGTATTATTATTATAAGATAAACTGAATTAAACACATTTTTGATTTCATTATCACCACATTATCAACTTTATGTGTGCCGTGTGGAAATAAAATCATCTTGAATTTACTAAAAAATGGTGTTAGTGATTTTTATTGCGTCTTTTGTAATATTTTTGAACGAACTAAAAAACAAACGAGAGATCCCATAGGGATCATGGCATCCACTACTTGTACATGTATCATCTTCACAGGTTCTATGCAAGATTTACTTTTCCCTGTTGGATAAATAGTCATGTAAAATATACATAAATCTTAAATTTTGTAACTTTTGATCAAAGCTTCATGGTGGTGTGTATGAAAGTGTTCTGTCAAGATAAGGTTGTCAGTTTACCTATTTATTAATGTGTACCGACTTGAACCTTAAAATTGAAATTTGAGAAAGATCTGTCCAGTACTTATCGGGAAATAATGATAACAAACTGGAACTGTCAAAATCAAAGATGGCTACATGTTGACCTTTTTGTTTTTCTGATCATTCTCAATATAAAACAGGCAAAATTTATGACATATGAAAATAAACATATGGAATTTGATAAGATCTGTGCAGTATTTCCTGGGAAATCATGATTACAAAATTGAACTGTCAAAATATACCAGCTTTCGGGTGGATATCTTATTTTTCCAATCAGCTCAAAATGAAAAACACAAAACCTTAGGAAATAGCTTAAACATGCTCTAGATCAATACCAAAAACTAATATGCATAAATGATGACCATAGGAAACATACATGCGAAATTTTAGAAAAATCCCTCCAATTCTTTATGAGGAATAGCGCTAAAAAACTATACAATCAGTCCCCTAATTTGACATGCATAATAAGGGATGATAGGGAAATTCATGCGAAATATGGGGAAAATCCCTGCGGTAATGTGAAAAATAGCACTAACAAACTTTAACATAAAATTAAGATGGCCTTCTGTCGGAATATATTGACAATATGTGTATGAAATGGGAATATATCTGGTTTACCAAGCAAGAAAGATTTGAAATATGACTGTTGAGACTTGAGAAATGATATTGAATTGGTTCAAGTGATCAAATATATTGATTAATTAAGTCATCTTAGATTTGAGACCTAAGTAAATTACACAGTATATCCATTTCTAAACTTTTTGACCAACGTAGATATTGGAAACTCTTTTGGGAAGGAGATGGAAAAGGTAACATACCTCCTCAAGTAATAAAAACAAGACAAATTCTGCTGAGTGAAAGCTGAAGGTGACAACAATGTTCACTGGCTTTTATTATGCTGGAAATTCTTGATATAATAATAAATATGTCGTCTAAAACAGACATTTGTAATATGAAAATTAAAAACAAAATATTTATAATCAATAAAGGAAACAAAATATTAAAACACGTAAATAAATCTGAAGACTAGTTTCAGCACAGGGGCAAGACATAAATAATAATATCACAGGATGAATATATAGAGTGAAACCTATTACTGTCGAAATAGACAGGTGTCTTATTACACAGGTCAAATACACCAAATTAAACTTGGACTGAAATATAACGTCTGGTTTATACAGGTGTTGGTACCATACCATCCTCAATACTCAAGGAGTGAAGCTCGCATAACTCCCTGTACCCCTGAGATATGTCATGGCATGGAAAGCTATTTGATTAGATTGTCAAATTGCTAGGACGATACCTGTCTTTCGAAGAGCGACACCCAACATCATAGTTGGTCAGTTTTATTGTAACGCTGCCGTGTGTTTCTTTTGATGTAGAACAAAATATCAAATTAGTCCACTTGTATCATACACAAGATGGCACATACTGATCGTTTGATTTTGTCATGACATATGCCAGGGGTGCAGAACGCGTACATTTGGCGTAACCCCTGGATTATCCAGGATGGAATTATACAGGTTTCTGTTTTATATAGGTTCCGTTTAGACAGATTATACCATATAAAAATGTATATAGGTCTAGGTCATAAAATCTATTCTACAGGAGAAAAACATACTTCATAGAGAATTTATGTGTGATGCATTTTTGTCAAAATCAAATTTCTGCATTTCATTTTTTTCTCGCAGTTTTACCTCTATTTCTAATGCTTTAACATCTTTAGTGTGATGGTACTTTTCAAAACACCATCACAAAGTTCAAATTCACTTTTCCATAATTTTGTCATCTTTTGAACAAAACAAAAATAAGATATTTGCTAAAATATACCCCATATATGGAAGTCCATGTTAAGGAATAGTACCATTTTACTTCCTTGTCGCTCAATTTCATGTTGTATGGCCTTTATATGAAACATGCATACCATGGTATTATCATGGAGAAGACGGAATTATATAAAATTCTTCATATGACTATTGATGCGTCTGGCCCCCGTGAGATAAACGCAAGAGACTGGAATAAAAATACTGATTAAGATCTGGTGAAGGTAAATGCATTTCATATTATTGCACAAAATATATAAATACTTAAAAAATAAAAATGAGAACATTAAATAATATGGAAATTACTGATTACACAAAATACAACAAATCTGACAACATAAACACAGGTTTAAGTACGTTTGTGGAATAACCGTTTGTTGCCTGCTATTTCAAACTGAGGAAATGCCCATATATTTACTGATTATGGCCATGGAGGGTCTGGGGGACCAAGGCCTGTGAAGTTGTAGAAATGATATTTGTAACCGTAACGCACTCGTGTAATAAGTACATTGTATTATAATTAACAGTCAATTATGATTTCTGCTGGTAACAACAAGTTAACTATGCTATGCAGTCTACGAAAACTTTTTAAGTTTCATTTAACAATGTTTCTGGTCAATCAGAATACACAACATATCCTAAATCAGTAAACACATACCTTTGAATTTCCCCTGGCCAAATATTTGATCTGTTCTAACAGACAGGAATGGCGATCTAACATTTGACCCTCCAATGTGATCTTGACTTCTAGATGTTGTCCTGCACATTTAAGATCACTGAGAATAAGTTTGAGTAAAATCTCAACCAGTATATTAACACATATTATTACACAGATAACATAATAACATGTCTCATTCAGATAACGACGGTTTCAATTTGCCTTAACAAACTCCAGGTCATGGTTGTTCAAAGGTTGGATGAGTTAATCAATAATTAGCCATTTTTTTAACTATGCTCTGAATGCAAGTGCTTTTTATTGACAACATTTTGAATTTTTCACTTACCACAAGTTGTTAACGTTAAACAACCTTTCAGCAACGTTGACCAGGTTTTCTAACATGTATGAACTTATTTTATTCTAGAAAAGACAGACTTACCTCAAAGTTCAATTTTTTTTTTTTAAAATAAAATCACGATTTCCCTCGATATTTATTAAGTGTATGGCACAGAGGCACTTTTACTATAATGTTTGCGGTTTCAAATGATTCAATTGTTATCAATTTTATTGCAAAAGATGCACATTCATGTAAGGTAAAAGTCCTAGCATATAATTAAGGTTCCCTAATGACTGAGGGTTGACTATCATGTTTATCTAACTCGAAATAGTTAATTTTCAAATTGTATGAAGACACAGGGTTTACCGGATGTCTTTTACAACTTAAAAATTGACTATCATGAGTTAGATAATCATGAACACTGACCATCACTAGTTTGGGGACTTTTTTCTCTCACAAACGTTCAGATATTATATCTAGAAAACGATATATTCCTTTTGGGAACACATCATCCCTGTTTTCCCATAGGCGAAACAATCACCATAAACAATGATGTCGCAATGATTTTTTTCTTGATGTAATAATTAGAAGATTGACCAATGAAATAACGTCCAGGGTGTTATCCACTAGCGGGTAGACTAAAGTGATTACGAACTCCTCGCAGGTTTATCCAATGAGTCGGTAGTGAGGAAACATATAGTGATTACGGGAGAATATTGGTTATGGGGCAGTTCACACATATATGTAATACACCAAATAACAGTTACCACAAAAAACGAACCAGCATAACATAAGTCATCGTATAGACTAAAAGGTTTCAGCCAATAAGAAGCAATGGTAGCAATCTTAGATTATGGAATGCAGGTAATTTGTCATCATTCACCATGGAGACTATCCATTTAGTATAATTTACCACTAATTATGAACAAAAGTATAGCCACATATGTCTCAGCCAATCAGAAACAATGAACGGTGGCCATCTTGGATTTCTGTTACTCTTTTAGTATCAGTGACCATGAAAAGTGGCCATCTTGGATTTTGGAACGTCATTATTTGTGTGAGATATCAAATATCTTTACTACAGAAATAAACGCTGGTAGGTCAGAAATGGCAGTGCAATATATTTGCATGGTACACCCGTATAAACATCTACTACATATCTAAATATAACAGAATATCAGCATTAAAGTTAGGAATTTTAGACTTCTGGTTTGTGAGAAAACCACTGAAGGCGATACTGTGGTCAGACCGACACAATGGTCAGCATCATAATTACTATAGGGCAATGTCATCTCTGATACAGAACCCAAATAACAACAATATCCTCAACTCTCAACAATATTCCAAAGTAAAAACGAAACCAGCATCTAACTACAATATGTGAGTAATGGACACCTTGTGTGTATTACTGTATACTGGTATAATGTTTGTCATCATTTAACTTTTGCCCTTTACACCCTACGTAATGAGGGCAAATGTTCATACAGTCAAACCTGTATTAAGAAACCACTGTCCGGAAGGTCAGTCAAAACGATGGTCTCCTAATGCATGTAGTTTCTAAATACAGGTAAAAACAACACTGAAATAATTACAGCGGGGAACAGTAAAAGTGAGGCTCTTAACACAGGTAGTCTCTTAATTGAATGAGTAGACTTGACTGTAGAAGTGTACAGCTTCATATTAATAGGGTCTCCCCCGTGAAATGTGAATTAACACCAGTCTAACATGGATTCTACATGTGAAGGGGAAATATTTGACCAGGCATATCGTGAAACCCTTAACTTCCCTGAACTCACATTACTCGAATACCCTCTGTTTGTCAAGTTTGCTTAGTCCTGAACGTGCTCTTATATATTTTCTTTTGTAAAGTAACCTCAGATTTATAAAACAATCATTCCTCGAATCACCCATGTTCTTCAAACTCTGATTTATCCCCAAATAGTCAAGCTCTTACCATTAATCCTTACCACTGATCGATCAGGTAGTCACCAACTGCCTGGCAATGAATTGCCTTAAAGCAAAATCAGCAGTCTACACTCAATGTGTTTATAAAGGTGTCAACTGGACATCAAATAATTACAGGATTAACGGCAGTATCCTTCTTTTCGTTATTTCTCAAAAAAGAATTAACCCAATACATCGCCACGGCCTTAAACTATTGGTATGCTACATGTTTAGTTTCTTTGACATACAGATTGCAATATGTTTTCATTGTAAGAAGTTTTATAATTATATTATTAACGTTTTTTTTCTTTCGATCACCTACTCAAGCATGTCATTAACATAGCTGAAGCTGATCTGCAATCCCACCACATTGACGTATTATGACTAACTGTATTCCTCAAACTATTGTTCTGAACCCCACAAATTCGAGCTAGCAGCGTTTTAAAGTACATAGCATGTATATTTTGTTTGCATTCTGTACCTTTTCTTGGGCAGATGATAATCAAACTAATTGTTTCAAAACGTGAAAGTCATATTTAAAAGCCATTCACAATTTAGCATAATTTCCTTCTAAGATTTTTTAAATGCAATGATCACATTTTCAGCCAATCACAAAAGAGCATGATTTCCATACAAGCTAGGTCTTCCAAAAAGGTGAAGGTTATGTTAGAAGCTATCACAATGTAGCATGATTTCTTAACAGATTAGCTGTTCCAATTGGTGAAACTCACATTAAATCAGCCAATCACAAAACAGTATGATTTCCATACAAGCAAATTCGAAAGGTGAAGGTCATTTTATCAGCCTATCACAATGCGGTATGATTCAACCTTCGAAGGTGAAGGTCAAACAGATGTGGAAACATCCAATCAAGTGAGATCCGTAATACGACGGTTGCTCCAAAGATGAAGGTCGTAATCGGTGGGTAATGTGGTTGCTAGGGACTACAAAGGGCTTGTAGGGCTGGTGCTTTCACTGGAACTGTATTTACATGGTCCTTTCACGGGACCCTCCGTCGACGACCCCATCTGGAACAAGGCAGCCCTTTTGCTGGATGTGTTGACCTCACCGCGGAGAAACTTCTCTAGCTTCTCTACACAGGCATCTTGATAATCATGTATCCACCTGTAAGAGAGCAAGGTCAAGGTCACATAAATCCAAGGTCATTCAGGCCTAAAATTTACACCAGTCAGAGAATATGCCAGTAAAAGGTCACATCTGTCAAAGATCAAGCCAATGGAAGGTCACACCAGTCAAAGGTCATGTCTGTCAAAGATCAGTCATGCAAAGGTCACACCAGTCAAAGGTCTGATTCGTCGAAAGTGCCATCAGTCGAAGGTCACACAAGTCAAAATTCAAAAGTGACATGAGTTAATTTCACATCAATGTAAGATAGGTATTGTCATCTAGCAGATGCTACATTGGCAACTGATTTTACCATTTATAAGCCCTAGAGCATCATCTTTAACAAGAGGCGCAATGGGCATGCATCGCTCAACTGGTGTTAATCTCACACCTGTAACCTGAAAAGTGATCTAAAATAAAGCTACATACAAAATATCAGTATTTATGACTATAAGTTATTTTAAAGAACCTGTTAAAAGATTTAAAATCATTAGGTTATTACGTTAAACAAGAGGCCCAATGGGCCTGAATCGCTCACCTGGTATTAATCTCACACTTGTAATCTTAAAAGTGGACTAAAATACAACTACAGCCAGAATATCAGTGTTTGATTAATAAAAACCTATTAAAAGATTTAAACATGCTTCCTCCCAGCATGTTATTGGCCAACTATCATCACCCAGGGCCTTTCGGTTACTGAGAAGAAGTTGTTTAAAGGTTTTTAACATATTTGACCCCTGTGAACTTGAATATGATTCAAGGTCATTCATTTGAACAAACTTGGTAGTTCCTCATCCCAGCATGTTACTGGCCAAATATCATCACCCAAGGCCTCTTGGTTATTCAGAAGAAATTGTTTTCAGGTTTTAAACATATTTGACCCCTGTGACCTTGAATATAAGTCAAGGTCATTCATTTAAACAAACTTGGTAGCCCTGCAGGCCAGCATGTAAATTGCCAACTATCATCACCCTAAGCCTCTTGGTTATTCAGTAGAAGTTGTTTAAAGATTTTGAACATATTTGACCCCTGTGACCTTGAATATAAGTGAAGGTCATTCATTTGAACAAAATTGAAAGCCCTTCATCCCAGCATGTTACTGGCCAAATATCATCACCCTAGACCTCTTGGTTATCCAGAAGAAGTTGTTTAAAGATTTTAAGATATTTGACCCCTGTGACCTTGAATATAAGTCAAAGTCATTCATTTGAACAAACTTGGTGCCAGGTGAGCTAAAAACTGTATAGCCCTTCATCTAAGCATGCAACTTGCCAAATACCACCAATCAAAACCTTTTGTTTATTGAGATTAGATTCTTTAAAGATTTATACATATTTGACAAAATGCGACTTTGAAATGTGGGTCAAGGTCAGGTAAATGAAAAAGCTTGCTACTGGCCAAATATCAACAATCTGGGCATCATGGTTATTCAGAAGACGTTGTTTAAAAGATTTTAACACATTTTACCCCTGTGACCTTGAGTACAGGTTAAGGTCATTCATTTGAACAAACTTGGTAGCCCTTAATCCTAGCATACTAATGGCCAGATATCATCACCCTGGGCCTTTTAGTTATTCAGAAGAAATTGATTACAGATTTTGAATATATTTGATCCCTGTGACCTTGAATAAAGGTCTATGTCATTCATTTGAAAAACTTGGTAGCCTTTCATGCCAGTTTGTGATTGGCCAAACATTATCATCCTGGGCCTTCTGGTTATTCAGAAGAAGTTGTTTTAAGATTTTAACATATTTGACCCCTGTGACCTTGAAATTGGGCGAAGGTCATTTATTTGAACAAACTTGGTAGTCCTTCCTCCCAGCATGCTACTGGCCAAATACCATCACCCTAGGTCTCTTGGTTATTGAGAAAAAATGTTTAAAGTAAAAAGTTGACGCCGGAAGGATGACGGACAGACGACGAAGACGATGGACAGACGGACCGAGGACAGACGACGGACACCGCACCATGGCATAAGCTCACTTGGCCCAAAAACGGAGTAATACCTCTGTCCCCCACACTACTATCAGATGTAGTTAACCGAAACTGTTGGCCTCTGTTGTATTTATGGTTTTCCAAAAAATTCATCTGAACAACAAAGGCAGACAAAATAATATCAAAAGGATGGGGAAATGATGTTACATTACCATAGCGTAAATTGGGGTTAAAATATTTGAAACCAGTCTTGATTCTATAACTTAATTTGATCACTGTATAATAACCAATAAGATCCAGATATACAACATCTTACATTATCACTGTACAGGACCTTAAAACCGGTTGTAACACTATACAGTAAGATTCACCAGGTATGTATTAAAATACATTCTACATTCTTACCTGATTCCATTAAAGAACACGATCTGTCGCATATCCTCAGGTAACGTGTCGGCGGCAGGGAAAATGAAGTTGTCCATCACCGGGATTATGTTACAGCCACTGTTGATGGCCGCTACAATCTCCTGTGACAACGAAACACATTGTATCTCATATTTTATTCAGTTTGTGTAAAGAAAACAAGTGGCCCATTCTTCTGATAAACGATACGTGATGTAATGTCTGACTGCTATATAGTTACACTGTTAACAAAACTGTGGAGGAAGGAAATAACAAGGGTACCACTGCATTCGGTAAAATCACAAAGGTGAGTTTAACTCTGAGTACTTTCCTTTTCATATATTGTATTGTTGCTAATGTTCACAACGATTTTAAATAACGTGAAGACTTTACAATGTACGTAGATAACGTGAAGACTTTACAATGTACATATATAACATGAAGACTTTACAATGAATGTAGATAACATGCAGACTTTACAATGTACGTAGATAACGTGAAGACTTTACACTGTACGTAGATAACGTGCAGACTTTACAATGTACGTATATAATGTGCAGACTTTGCAATGTACGTAGATAACATGCAGACTTTACAATGTATGTAGATAACGTGAAGACTTTCCAATGTACGTAGATAACGTGAAGACTTTACAATGTACGCAGATAATGTGCAGACTTTACAATGTACGTAGATAACGTGAAGACTTTACAATGTACGTAGATAACGTGCAGACTTTACAATGTACGTAGATAATGTGCAGACTTTAAAATGTACGTAGATAACGTGAAGACTTTACAATGTACGTAGATAACGTACAGACTTTACAATGTACGTAGATAACATGCAGACTTTACAATGTATGTAGATAACGTGAAGACTTTACAATGTACGTAGATAACGTGCAGACTTTACACTGTACGTAGATAACGTGAAGACTTTACACTGTACGTAGATAACGTGCAGACTTTACAATGTACGTAGATAGCGTGCACACTTTACAATGTATGTAGATAACGTGAAGACTTTCCAATGTACGTAGATAACGTGAAGACTTTACAATGTACGTAGATAATGTGCAGACTTTAAAATGTACGTAGATAACGTGAAGACTTTACAATGTACGTAGATAACATGCAGACTTTACAATGTACGTAGATAGCGTGCACACTTTACAATGTATGTAGATAACGTGAAGACTTTACAATGTACGTAGATAATGTGCAGACTTTAAAATGTACGTAGATAACGTGAAGACTTTACAATGTACGTAGATAACATGAAGACTTTACAATGTATGTAGATAACATGCAGACTTTACAATGTACGTAGATAACGTGCACACTTTACAATGTAAGTAGATAACGTGCACACTTTACAATGTACGTAGATAACATGCAGACTTTACAATGTACGTAGATAGCGTGCAGACTTTACAATGTACGTAGAAAGCGTGCAGACTTTACAATGTAAAGGTCCTGAGTTTGATCCCGGCCATATCTTCAGCTTTCTGTTTTTATTCTATTTTGAACCTTTCAAATTAAGAACAACTCTCTCTCTCTCTCTCTCTCTCTCTCTCTCTCTCTCTCTCTCTCTCTCTTTTAATGCGACACTTGCAGGTCGTGGATCGAGAAAACAATACAACTGCTGTAACCCACTGCATGTATCGTAAGAGGCGACTAATGCGTGAACCCCCTTCAGAATTTGGGATTTGCTTTCATGCCCTTTATTTGGTGACAGTAACAAAAATTAAATAAAAATTAAAATTGCTGCAACCATTGCAACACTTGGAATCTTCCTATTTATTACTTTTTATTTCCTAGCGAATTCCTTGGCAACACCTCATTTTTGGCTTAAATGTTAAACATTCGTGGTGAGGAATGCTCTGGGTTCTGTCGCCAGGCCGGGACATACCGAAGTCCTTATCAGTGGTAGTGGTTATTTATTCCCTGCTTAACGTTCAGCATTTAGGGTAATGACAACAACTGGTTCACCCGTTGTCAGTATAATGTGACCGGGCTGAATGCTGTGATCGGTGCCTTCGGAATGGGATTTCAGTGAAATAAAACCTAAAAGTCGGCATAAGATCTGCGTTTCACAAAGAGGCAAGTATACCAACATAACCTGTGTCCGGCACACATACACACAGGGAGGCACGTCCTTAAATTACCTTCGCTGTTAATAAGACATAAAACAAAACAAGAGGCCTAGAGGGCCTGTATTGCTCACCTGGAAATGTTAGCAAAATTGAAGATGAAATAGCCAGATGTTGCTGTACATGTATTATTACCTGGTTAGTCAGGGATTATATTTATATGCAAATGAATAAAATCCTGTCATTCCTAGAAGAAATTTGAAGAATTTGAAGGACCTTCTGCCCCAGGGGGGTCAGACCCACTGTTGATACAAAATTAGTTCCCCTTCACCCAAGGATGCTTTAGACCAAATATGGACATAATCCTGTCATTCCTACAGAAGAAGGATTTTAAAGCTGTTTTTCTATTTTTCCTATTTGGCCCACCCCTCTGCCCCAGGGGGTTAAAACCCACAGTTTATACAAAATTGGTCCCCCTTCACCTAAGGGTGCTTTGTCCCAAATTCGGATAAAATCCTGTCATTCCTACAAAAGAAGAAGAATTTTGAAGAATTTGCTGTTTCCCCCAGAGGTCAGACTTAACGTTTATACAAAATTGAGTTCCCTTGGCCAAAGGATGCTCCAGACTAAATTAGGATAAAATCCCTTAGTCCCTATGCAAGAAGAAGGATTTTAAAGGTTTTACCTCTATTTACCCTATTCGGCCCCGCCCCTCTGGCCCCAGGGGGCCACACCCACCGTTTATACAAAATTGAGTCTCCTTGGCCCATGGATGCTCCAGACCAAATTTAGTAAAAAATCTACTTGGCCGTTTAGGACTAGTAACGTTTTAAAGGAAAAGTTAGTGGACGGACCAGACAACGTTGAACGGACGATGGATGTGTTTGTGTGAATATGTATCTGTATTCTTATGTATTTGTTTTACGATGTATTTGTTTTACGATGTAAAATGTAAATATATGTTTTTGTCTACGAATGGAAAAACAAATAAAAAATTTGAGACCCTCGTAAATTCAATGAATGTTTAAACCTGTGTAAACCCTGTTCCATCATTCCAATTCATTACTGATCGCATACCTTGTGAACCCAGTCTTTCTGATTGTTATCGCCGATACATCTGTCCAGCGAGTTTGGGGTCAGCACGATGATGAAGTGTTTGGCCATTTTAACACTGCTCAGCAGTCCCTCGTCAAACTTGCCAGCCCGCAGCTTCTCAATGTCCAGAAATACAGAAAACCCTTTCAACTGCAGGTGGACCTTTAAGAGGCTACAAGAAAAACAATTTCTAGTAGGGAAATTAACATTTAATATTTGAGTCTCATGAACTGTAACATTAATTATAGGAACTAATCTGGGTGTGTCTTCGACTGGAAAAAGTGAGCATATTTTGAAGATTTAGAAATTTATCAATGATAGTAATTATTCAGAAAAATAATTACAGATTGAATAAACTAACTTTATTTAAACATTAAACTACATTATAACATTTAGATTATATTGCAATATATAGTTCTAGGATCGTAAAACTAAAACCAGCAACAATTTGAAAGTTTTTTCTCTCTCCATATCTATCGAAGACAAGGATACAGAAGAAATCTCTGGAGAAACGATTCTCTTATAAAATATATAGATTCAATCAAATATAAAAGATTTGAAATCAATTCTCAAGTGGTTTTAATTTCTTACATAACAGGTATGTATCTAATGAATAGTTATTATACAGTTTAATTGAGATTTAATCCATTTTATCCTAGAATGAAAACTTAATAATTACACTCCAGTTTTCGGTTAACCATTCATTTGTTTTGTTTGAGTAACACACCTGGCCAGCTGAGATCCGTTGGTACGGCGATAACTGATGAAGACATCCGTGGAACGGGTCAGGAGGCTTCCGTCGGCCGAGTCTACACTACACTGGTCACTGTACATCTGGAGCTCTTTCATGGCTGTCAGAGTTAAGGGTACATGTGATACATTAATGTAACATAAACTTCTTTTACGGAAGAGTTCCACCCTATATATTCTGCAAAACAACTTTTTGCAAAGTAATTATTTTGTATTGCAACTTTGAACATTGTTAATATTGACAATACATTTGAAAGTTACATTATGTACACAGCGTAGACCTCGAACCCGGGACCCATTGGTGGGGGCTAGTGATTGTAGTCGGTCAGACGCCTTAAAACTTGAACCCCATGCCCCCCTACCCCCCTTCTTTCTGAATGTGTTTTAATAGAGAAAGCTTCACAATGGTGTCACTTCACATTTAAGGAATCATTTTCGTTAATATTTCAGTTTTAGCCCACCTGCAATTTTCTGCATGATGCGCTTGCGATGGATTCCATTGCTGATACCGCAGTCCTGCATCAGCTGGTCGTCACAGACATGGGAGAGATAGTGCTTGTCCAACCCTGACCTCATCATCTGGTACATGTACTGGCGATATTCCTGGTTCATATCTGACAGCCAATCGTCAAGCCCACTCTGGTCACATGATTTGTAGTCAGCTGACATCTTTAAATATGTCAACTCTCGCAAGAATCTGGAGGAGAAGCGAAATATTGTGGGATTGAAAATTCAAAAGAAAAAGCCTAATGATACAAAGATTTTATTAAGGATCCATGTCCCACTGAAGGTAAAACAGAAATGCCAATGCAACTTTTCCTATAACTAGGAACCTCACCTTAACTCCATTATAGATATCACTTAACCATGACTGTTCAGGTAGCTCAGGTGGTAAGAGCTTTTTTTAAAATTTCTTATTATAAGAAATAAATGAATTACTACCTTTTTTCGGATGAACGGGGAAACATAACATCTTTTTGTCAGGCCTAACAGGAAATATATGTAGCAGAAGACTGATATAGGCTTAGCCTGTTGTCCGATTCTTTTAACAATGCTGTATTGCATGCATAAATATTTGTATGTATTATATATATGTATTGTTAATAAAATATTTTGAAATTGAAAGCGATAGTAAAATGATCAGAGTCCAGAGTCCAAATCCTGGATTGGGCTTCTTTCAATTTCACACTCAGAACATGGAAACATTGATTTTTTTTATTTATTTCATCATTTTTCAATTGTTTTATGAAAGGTCTCAAAGGTAAGGACTTCTGTCCAGAAATGATTTATGCCACAAATAAACCTTTCAATGCATAGTTCTAGTTATTGGTAGCCGTACGGGTATCCTTAAATAGATTCTAACTTTATCACACAGAAACTCAAAGAATTAATTGTCTTATGCATAGTTAAGCATGAGTGAAATGTACACATATCAAAAGTACAAAAAGAAGGATTTTTGTTTGTTTGTTTGTATTTAACGGCCCATCGACGGCCGTGGTCATTTAGGGCCAATTGGTGATTTATTCATATATTTAAAAAAACAAAAACAACAACATGTGATTGGCGAAGATAAAATCAGACAAAAATGTTCATTTTTAAAAGCATTCGCATTGTATGTGTAGATAATTAAAATAAAAAGGGGTTAAAATAATAAAAGGGATAAGGAATAGATGATATGGACTATGTGATATATACATATAACGTCAAAGAGGGTCAGGTTTGGTTTAAAGACATCAGAGTCTATAGAATAGACCGATGTCTTTCAAATAGTTAAATAATGTCTTCGAGTCCACGGAACTGAAAAGAGTTTTCATATCCGGGACTCGAAATTCGTTATCACAAATGTGTTTAAAATCGGAAAGGAAAAAGAAGGAATATTTTTGCATAACAAAACTTCCCCATAATAAAGGAAGGTTTATCAATGAAACAAAGAACCAGGATGTTAAAATGACTAAAAAAAGTTTATTTCATTGAATTGAGAGTAAAAGGGTACCAATAAAGTTAAATTTTCTTAGTCCTTTTTAAAGGAACTTTTCAAAAAATTCACAAATTGCCATGCATGCGTTTCACAAAATTTTAGTTTTGCCTGTTTTCATACATTCAAATATTTGAATATAGAAATGAAATAGAAATGAAATTAGAACTGCAGAGGTCAAAAAAGGAATCTGTGCACTACAAGGCTTACAATAATATTCAGCATCAAATGAATGTCCAATCGATAAGCAGGAAAAGTCCATATGACATCTTCAAGCCTATGGAAAACTAGGCAGGGGTAGTAACTCTAAGACGAAAACAATGTAAAGAATTTGGTTGCTTTATCATCTATACAGAAGGGAGAATACTCCAAGTAAAAAAAAAATTAGAATCAAACTCTTCTTTGCAGTAATAATTCAGGCAGTGGTAACCCTTAACTTTAAATTCATGGTCTTGTGGCAGATTTTAATTGTACATAGGATTATGGTCGCCTTCTAGCTTCGAGCTAGAGGGAACTTCCCTTTAGCTGAGTGGTAGAGGGTCCGACTTATAATTATAAGGAACCTGGAGTGGAGATTGGGGCTTGAATCGATCCCAGGTGGAAGCACACTATTCTCTTTCCTTTTATGTATGTGGCCCTCCCTGTGGTGACAGGGAGTTGTGGTGTTCGAGGGTGAATACATTTTAAAAAAAAGGGGGGGGGGGTAGTGTGGCAGATCGAGGGTGCGATCCCCAGTGGTTGCACACTTTTCTCTTTTCTGATACAGTCTTATCAATCCAAACAAACTCCCTTCGCCCAAAACCCATCATTCACTGACCTTGACATCAGGGTCGTAGTCCTACCTACCTTTTCTGTGTAATTTTACATGTAATTCCAATGCTGTCAGCAAGGTCCTCTTTAGTCATCGTAAGAAGCAGATCTCCGTCAACCTTGCATCGCTCAAAGCTGGCAGCCATGTCCTTGAAACCAACCTGTCAAAGATTAACAACTTCTATAACTTTCAGTTCTTGTAAAGAATTTGTTTGAAGTGTTTGACACATTTGATCCCTATGACCTTGAAAGCAGGTCCAGTAAAAAAATCAGAATCAAACTTTCCATGACATAAGCAACGCCATGACATAAGCTCACATGCCGTTCAGGCAGGTGAACTAAAAAGCCTTGATATTTGTTGATACTATGCTTACAGGTACTTACTTGGGCCACCCAGGCAGAAACATCAGCCACTGCCCAGAGCAGTACTTAGTGTAAGTTTGTGTCTGAGTTGTGACAGGTACTTACTTGAGCCCCCCAGGCGGAGACATCAGCCACCGTCCAGAGTGGCACTAAGTGTAAGTTTGTGTCTGAGTTGTCACAGGTACTTACTTGAGCCACCCAGGCAAAAACGACAGCCACTGTCCAGAGTGGCACTAAGTGTTAGTTTGTGTCTGAGTTGTGACAAGTACTTACATGAGCCACCCAGGCGGAGACATCAGCCACCGTCCAGAGTGGCACTAAGTGTTAGTTTGTGTCTGAGTTGTCACAGGTACTTACTTGAGCCACCCAGGCGGAGACATCAGCCACCGTCCAGAGTGGCACTAAGTGTAAGTTTGTGTCTGAGTTGTCACAGGTACTTACTTGAGCCACCCAGGCGGAGACATCAGCCACCGTCCAGAGTGGCACTAAGTGTAAGTTTGTGTCTGAGTTGTCACAGGTACTTACTTGAGCCACCCAGGCGGAGACATCAGCCACCGTCCAGAGTGGCACTAAGTGTAAGTTTGTGTCTGAGTTGTCACAGGTACTTACTTGAGCCACCCAGGCGGAGACATCAGCCACCGTCCAGAGTGGCACTTGTTGCGTGAGTTTGTGTGGCAGTTCCTCGCCTATGATCTTCAGAGCCTCGCCTGCTAGTTTCGAAACGGTCGCGTTAGGACTTCCAGCTAATTTCCGAAGCGGCTCTATTGCTTCTATTTCATAGAAAACCTGGAACATAATTAAACATCTACAATACAGTTAACAACAATGAAATGTGTATTCACATACATTTTTAAAACTAATTAGATTATATCCAGTTCAAACCTAATTTTTTTTAAAGTATGAAATTATTTAATATTGAATAAACATTTTTTCAATATCAAAAGAAATTTTCCATTGTAAAGTGAGTCTTAATTGGATCATCACATGACTGTTTTAGACCAATCAAATCTTAGAAATTTGAAGTATAAAAGACAAGAAACCATTTTTTGTGTATATCATCCACAGAAATTGAGAAATTTCATCATTATCTTTTGCAATGATCAATATTGCTCCTTAAATCTGAAGAGATGTATTTTTGAGAAATGATTTGCCCCAAAATTTGACCAACCAATGTAAACCTGCATTTAAGTTTTCTCGTCCAAAATAATTTCGATTTGGTAGGTGAAAAAAATGTGTTTGATGAAATATCTAAATTTGAGTTTGTTTATATTGAAGAATGACTGAAATGTCGTAGCCTGGACATAGAAGCACGACCCTCCATTTGGTCACATTGTGCTGACAATAAGCTCAATAGATAGTCCATACTGCCAGCATTTAAACCAGAACATCAAGCAAAGGGCAGTAACTATGTCCCTATTAATGTTTGTCTCGGACAGGGGACAAAACGAATAACCTTCCTTGCTTGAACAAGCACATGCTAGCAAAAGCCAAATACAAGTTTAAAAAGAGATAATGGCATCCCAAACTCATTCCAAATTTATCTGTCTGGTTTGTTTCATAAAATTAACAATGAAAATATGTTGAACAGCCTTATATCAAAAATAATAATAATACTTTGAGGTTCTCATATACTGCTTTATATATGTATATATATATCAACCTAGTTTGTAGCGATAGGTTGTCTCAAAGTGGTTCACAAATTATTATCCGTGGTTATAGGGCCTTTGCAACCAGCCAATATCTTTCTCTACTCCCTGGGGAGCAAACAGCCAGTGCTGCCATTTCGGCGATCACAGCTAGCATTCAACAATTCTAGCACTACCCAACCACGTTCTCATTTACAGCTGAGTAGACTGGAACAAGCGGAGTAAAGTATCTTTTCCAAAGATACAACACAGCACAATGACATGACTCTAACCCAGAACCCTTCAATCACGAGCCAGGCATCCTACCACTAGACTACCACGCCTCCTAAAAAAACCTTTAAGTCAACATAGGTGCTACAAAAAACGCTGCTATAGATGACAGAGAAAATTAAATTTCACATACAAGTATTTGAATCAGGAAAAGGACCAATTTTCAACTAGAAAGTAACTGTTAAATGGTTTCAATAATACATCAAATAACCCCAGCATGCACACAGTACCTCTTTCTTCTCTTGTTCACTCTTGATGCCGGCTTCCATCGCAAAATGAAATGCTGCAAGAGCCTGAGCTTCTTCCCTCTTACTGGACAGGAGAACCACCAGTCGCTTCAACCACCCTCGGGATCGACCGTGACGGTGAGACAAATCCATCCGGGCAAATTCGCCGGGGTTGTGACTGTTGATGAACGGGAGAACAAGCTCCAATGTGCCAGAATTCAACACATCTGCCTCGATTTCCTTATTTGCGACCATTACGGAGATGGCCAGACAGGCATAGTAACGTACGCTGTCATCGTCGTTGAAGGCAAGAGGGAAAAGCCATTCAGGTACTTTGTGCTTGGCCATGATTTCTTGGTTCTCAGGGCCGCCATATAAAGCAAGATTTGCGAGGGCAATGGCGCAGTGTCTCAGAGTGAGTCGGTCGTTACATCTACACCAGTAAAGTACAACGTCCAAACCGCCAAGTTTAATCAGGCGAGAACTTGCATCCTCGGACGTCTTAAATAAACTCTCCATGATTCCAGTCGAGACACGGGCCATCTCAGAGTCCCCTTTTACATCAATCGTCATCTTGACAACAATGTCAAGACCTATTTCGACCACTTTATGTCGGTTACCAGTGGTAAGTACTTTCTCCAGGAGTCGTGCAGAAGACCTCAACAGATCCCGCGACTGTGACTGACAGTTTTTAATGATAATCTCTAGAAGTTTCTCGGATTTGATGATGTCACAAAGGCCATAAGCCAGGTCACGGCCGTAGGTCGGAATGGCCCAGACCTGCTCCATCATAACGCACAACTCTTTGAGAGCGTGTATCTGTTCCTGGACAGATCCCATCTGCAATTGCTTCGTCTTCTGACGTAAATTCTGTGCATACAACTGGAAGCTTGCCTTCCAGCTGCTCTTCGAAATCTTACTCAAATGATCCTGGGATTTGTTGACCTTCATGACCTTTCGTGCCATCCCAGTAGTAATAAACGCCTTGTCCTCGCGGATAGCCTTGATGCTGATATGGGAACCCCTCGGACTTCTATCCTCGCTTGATGTACTTTCCATCGATATAGACCTGTCGCTCAGACTAAACTTTCCGCAATCGTCCGTTTCATCTTCCTGTGGGATGGTCTCCAAGTGTCGCCCTGACAATGTCCTTGTCAGTAAATTCGGAGCCCTGTCGCACAGATTCTCATAGGCTTCCGCCTTAGACAGGTCGAAGTACACTTTTGTACATTCTGAAATGTTGTGATGACTCGACATAGCTCCTTCACTTCTGACTTCTTCAGAAGACTGGGTGGACTCCAAACTCATAACCTCTCCAGAAGGATCCTCCGTGTTATGGATGAGGACAGCCTCGGACTGGGAGCGCTCCAACATTCTGTACGGATCAAACGACTGCTGTCCGTCCTGTTTAGGCTCCACTGTCCCAAAACCTGCAGTAGAGTTTGTTCTATGTACCGGACCCACGGTATTGCCGTCAGAATCCTCTTGGTCAGCCATCGTTTTTAAAGAATCGGGATTTTCACCTACATATATATTACAACCTCCTGGACAGGAAGCTACACTGTTAGGGGAAGTCACTCTCCCAGAAGTTTTCTCATCCTTAGCCTGTCCTGACAATCCAGCTGGTCTCTCTTTACCATCCTCACAGTCGCTAGACATGTAATCGCTATCATTTGGCCGACAGGTTCCGAAATTGTGGGTCAAACATTCAAAGAGCTCAATGATGACGGTCTAGATCTGTTCGGGTCGAAGGTCACAGATTTTTCAAAGTGAGAGATGCAGTTCAAGACCAAGTGGAATTGACATCATTAGGATAATAAGTTTAAGAAGATCTTCTGTTCCTGAAATATACAGAAAATTTAACATTTTATTCTTAAACTATATTATCAAAATTGGAATAAAGGTAAAATTGAATTTTAAAACTTGTAAAAAATATTCGTCAAATCTCTCTCTAGATCTGATCACCTTGGTTACCACAGGAAAATGTCCAGATTTACAACTTTCTGGAGAACAACAAAGCTGATCACTTCAAATTCAAATTCAATTTATTGAGCTTTGATGACTTGATTTTTCAACTCCAAGGTGAATTAAAAAGAAGATAACTCGTCTTTAAGGTAAAACCTGTCAAAAAGGCTCAAATAATTTTTTATCAGGAATGAATAAGCTGTGTTGTCCTCACCCCTTGGATTATTATGATGTTACTGTATTTATTCAGTAATAAGCCCCACCAAAATTAAAGCCCTCCTTTTTGAGTCAGACATTAAGGCCGTTTTCGTTTAAACGGTTGAACCGGTTGGACCACAGTTGTTCGTTTATTGAATAAGGTCGGACCTAGTAGTCTGATGCTGCTTTCATGCGAGCCTTGACAAAGCCTTGTAAGGTCTGCATAAACATTTGCAGGTCCGCCAGGATTTATACCCGAAAAATTTACATTTAAAAACGGTAAAACCGGCTGTTCAGCATGAACGACCAGGCTCTAAGTTTTGGCCTTAGGCTTAAGCTTATTGGAGGATAAATACGGTATCCTATAGCCAGCATTCTACACATTAGATCTTACCTAAATAAATTTACTTATTAATGACTTAAAAAAATAATATGTTATTATCCCCCTTCCAACTGCAGTAAAAGTAAAATAAAAAGCCCCAGGGGCCTGAAGATATACAACTGAACAATGTGGCCTTGCAGTTTTATATTAAAAAAAAGAAAATTTCAAACAAATAATCAAATTTGACCCCTATGACCTAGAATATAATTAAAGTTCATTTCTTTGCTAAAATATATAGTAGCACTCGTTGTCAGCAATTACTGCAAAACAAATTTTATGAATCAAGATTTTATTGTGTTTTCAAAATAAATTTAATTGTTTGAATGTTTTGAAACAGTTGACCTGTGACCTTGAATAAGGTCAAGGTCACTTCTTTTCACAAACTTTGTATGTTAGTTAGCAATGCCAGCTAGTTGACACCTTTACATTGTATGACCGTTTATGGAAAGATTTTGTTTTCCTTCACAAACTTTGTAGATCATATATACTATCAGTGCTACGTTGATGAGCCAATATTGAACCAAGCCAACTGCCTGTTTGTAAGATGATTTTTAAGATACCTAATTTTTACCTCTTTTTTACCCCCTAAAAGCTAGCCCCTTATTCTTCGCAAGTCTGATTCCCCATCACCTAGGAATACTTCCTATAAAATTTGGTTGAAATCTGTCCACTGGTTACTGAGAAGAAGTAGTTAATTAAAAGTAGAAGATTGTAACAGATAACGGACACCAGACGACAGACAAAAGCGGATCACGCACTAACATATTTCAAAACATCTTTTATACATTCAGAAATCTATATACAATTATAAAGAGAATCAAAATTCAGGTAGTTTTCGGGGTTCCAGACCACAAAGGATTATTTATTACACACACAAAGTGTCATTATACAATGAAATCTAACTTATGACCAGTTTCAACAGGTTTCTGGGTTATAAAGGATCATTAAATAGAAATGTGTCCATTACATGATTGAACCAAGATTCAGTTTGTACAAATATCCATGTAGGTTCACAGATTATACAGGCTTCAAGAGTATAAATAGTCCCAGATTGTACAGGTTCCCACAGTACAGGTCCCCAAATTATACAGGTTCCCACAGTACAGGTCACCATGCCAGATTGTACAGGTCCCCAGATTGTACAGGTTCCCAGATTGTACAGAGCTCGAGGCTCCCAGATTGTACAGGTCCCCAGATTGGACAGGTTCCCACAGTACAGGTCTCCAGTTTGTACAGGTTTCCACAGTACAGGTTCCCAAATTGTACAGGTTTCCACAGCACAAGTACCAAGATTGTACAGGTTCCCAGATTGAACAGGTTTCCAGATTGTACAGGTTCCCAGATTGTCCCTAGATTGTACAGGTTCCCAGATTGAACAGGTTTTCAGATTGCACAGGTTACCAGATTGTACAGGTCACCCAGATTGTACAGACCCCCATATTGTACAGGTATCAAGATTGTACAATGTTCCCAGATTGTACACTGGTTTCCAGATTGTACAGGTCCCCAGATTGTACAGGTATCAAGATTGTACAGGTATCAAGATTATACAGGTATCAAGATTGTTCCTAGATTGTACATATTCTCAGATTGTACAGGTTTTCAGATTGTACAAGTTCTCAGATTATACAGGTTCTCAGATTCTACAGGTCCAAGGAATGTTTAGGTATCCAGATTGTACAGGTTCTCAGATTGTACAGGTTCCCACAGTACAGGTCCCCAAATTGTCCAAGTTCCAAGATTGTACAGGTCCCCAGATTGTCCCTAGATTGTGCAGGTTCTCATATTGTACAGGTTCCCATAGTACAGGTTACCAGATTATATAGGTTCCCTGATTGTATAGGTTCCCAGATTGTACAGGTTCCCTGATTGTATAGGTTCCCATATTGTATAGGTTCCCATATTGTACAGGTTCCCTGATTGTACAGGTTCCCTGATTGTACAGGTTTCCAGATTGTACAGGTTCCCTGATTGTATAGGTTCCCATATTGTATAGGTTCCCATATTGTACAGGTTCCCAGGTTCCCATATTGTACAGGTTCCCAGATTGTACAGGTTCCCAGATTGTACAGGTTCCCTGATTGTACATGTACAGGTTCCCATATTTTACAAGTCCCCAGATTGTCCCTATATTGTACAGGTTCCCAGATTGTACATGTACAGGTTCCCATATTTTACAGGTCCTAGATTGTCCCTATATTGTACAGGTTCCCAGATTGTATATATTGTAGATTCCCAGATTGTACAGGTTTCCTGATTTTATAGGTTTTCAGATTATAAAGAGGTTTCTGGATTTAACTGTTTCCAGGATTATAATATAATACGGTTATGGACCGATTCACCTCCAATTTACACGATTTCAAGTTAGATGTGGTATCTTCAGCACAAAATCAATACAACAGGATGCACTGGCACCGATTCCTGTCTATGCATACGTAAGTAAGTGACTTAAACCAGTGGCATTAACAAGCTTGGGGAGAACTTCAGACTATATACCTCTTTAACTCATTCACCCCTGAAATTTCGTTATGAATTGTTCCAACCTTTGAGTTGGAAGAGCTCAAATTTGTTTTCAGGGGTGAATGCATTAAAACATCCTTATACACTAGGCAGATCATTCGTGCTGGCCAGGAATTCAAGAAAGTATTTTAAAATGTAAATTTCTTTTTTCTATCACATCACAGAACCCATTGTTTCATTTCCTACTTTCCCTATAATAGATACATGAACAAGATGCTTGTTGGGCCTGTATAGCTCACAGGTTTCCTTTGTTATCAGAACTATAGACAAGATTAGTTATCTTCAATAAGATTCATCAGTTTGGAAATATGTAAAATCAAAGTCTTACTTTCTACACAAACAATGTACGACACATATGTTTGATAAGTACATTGTAAAGTCATTGTTTGTGCAGAAAGTAAAACTTTGATATTACACAAGAAAATTACATGATTCTACAAATTAAAACCATTGTCATCGTTGAGCACTTTATAATGATATTAATTCCTTCCTATTGAATAACATAAATTTACATTACAAGATTATAATGGCAGAATACCAGAATTTTTCAAGCGTGAATTAAACTATCTGTGAATATATATTCTGCCAATAATTAAGATGCAATACAGTGAAATACATCTATTCAATTGGAAAACAGTCAAATTTTCTATTCATTACATTTTTTTTTAAATATCTACAATAACAAAAGTGTAACCGCATCCAAAAAGTGGGGGAATTGATAGTGTAATCTTTGGCGCAATATTCTCTTGTCACGTTTGACCCTAGCTCACTGGCAGTGCGCCATTTACGACCCTCAAAGCAATAGAACCTTTTTCTGTCAAGATTATAATGCTTGATGGAAATTGAGAAGTAGAAAATGTCTGAACCTATTCATATTATTAGGGGCCAGGGTAGACATCTTGGATACTGAGTCTGTTCAAAATAGTAACTTGTCATGAGATTATCCTTTGCATCAATTTTGTTCGTGCTAGCCTTATAGAGAAGATGATGGATGGCATGCTCTTGTTTTTGTCTTTTCCTCTTCTGAGCCCTACCTATCTGCTTTTGGGAGAATGGGGGGCCCCGGGGGTATTAACTTCTTTTAAGTATTTTTTTTTTAAAAGATAAGGAAATATTATCACCAATACTTAATGGGGTTATAGTACAATACACCAATCTATAACAAAACAATAGGGTGACATCATTAAAGTGCAAGGTAAAATGTATCTCATTAAAACTAAACTCAATCAGGAGTCCAAAGATGTCATTTTAAAAAGCTTTGTCAGTAAGATCATACCAGACAAAATTCTAGTCTGTATTTTATGTACCTGTTTGAAGTACAAAACCAAATCTACTGATACTTTAATAACTCGTTCACTTTTAAAGACACTTAATATTATGGAACACATTCCAATTCCAATGTTAGAAGAGTTCATTATGACATTTCTGGGGTGAATGATCTGAAATATCAATCATTTTTTCTAAATATTACTTTGAATGTAATTTAACACTGAAAAAGGAGACACCTGGTGGTACTGTTGTACTGTATAAGGTAATTATTTTCAGCAAAATTTTCCAAATTATTGCAAAAATATCACAATTCACATAAAAAATATTTTTTCAGATTGGATGCAAGCTTTTAAAGTTATCCTTTTTAATTTAATTTAATTTCATATTTTTTCATCTAATTGAGCAAAATAAAAAAAATGTCATCACCCTGGACCTCTTGGTTATACAAAAAGAAAGTTGCTCCAGGTTTTTAAGACAATTGACCCCTGTGACCTTGAATATGGGTGA